CCCCCCCCCAGCTTCACTGCCTCTGATAGTCACTTCATGCATTAAATTACAGTAGATAGAGATAGGAAGGGTGTGTAGTTTGCACTGGGTTTTAAAATTTCCCATGTACACCCACAGAACATCAATGCAAGGGTTAGGCTTGTCTTTATGTGCTCTCTTCACTAACATCACCCTCTTCTCAATCCCTCCCCCCCTTCCCCCCCCCCCCCATCTAAGGAGAATAAGGAGAAAACCAGTGCTCATCATTGGAGGGTCTTGGGGCGGGGGAGTTACTTTTTTTAAAGCAATCTTATATCCTTGTTTTAAAAGTTTACACATGATTAAAGACTCTGAAAGAAAAATGTTCAGAGGTTGGACATGCATTTTCTTTTAAATGAGTTTTGGGTATGTGTACTTGCTATTCCAGGTTACTCTTCTCACAGATTTATGGACTTTCCTATGCACTCCCATTCATGGTTTGTTTGTTGTTGTGTTTTACTTTTTGGCTCCTAATAAGAAAAAGGATTAATGTAGTTTGACTGTTCAAATTTTTTTCTTATTGCCTGCTCAGATAGTTAGTTAGTTTAAACTGGTATCTGTTTCTAAATTAAAAAGATCTGTTTTCTGTCAACATCCAAATTTCCTTTCCCTTTTATGGTCCACTTAAATAGTTTCTTACTTTGATTAAACAGATGAATAGAGTTGGTTAAAATTAGTATATACATTTTTTTTCTGTGTAGCTCTATGCTCCTGACAGTGTAGATACAAAACTAACACATGCAAATTATTTGATTCCTAATGCACGTGAAGGATTTTTGAGCCTTTAAATTTGGGGGTGGACTAAAATAGCATTAGAGAATTAAAACTTGGGCTACTTTTGAACAACTAAGAAAAACCCAGAATCAAATACAACAAACCCCTCTCTTCATAGTTAGGCTGTTTAGCTCACTGCTTTTGAATCTCTTCAGTTGGGGTCTCTATGTTAAGGGTTTCTGATCTCTCACTATTGAAACCTCTTATTATATGTTCATTCTGTGATTACAGATGCTGATGAATGTGCAGAAGGGACAGATGATTGCCACATTGATGCAATATGTCAAAATACACCTAAATCCTACAAATGCATCTGTAAACCTGGTTATAAAGGAGAAGGGAAACAATGTGAAGGTAAGAACAGCTCCTCTCTCTTCCCCCTCCTTTCTTATTTGTTTGCTCTGTAAAAGCTTCTGTAAATAGCTGAATTCCACAAACGATTAATGCAGATTTACAGCTGCTTAACCTCAAATCTTGGTGTTTATTGGCAAGCATCCCCTGCTGCTTCTGCTAATTGTTCTGCGTCAACATCATAGTCTGCTTTAAAAATAAAAACAAGCAGAGTTGTCTTGTGTCAAAGACAGTCTGGTTTTAAACAAAAATGTTCCACAAAGTGCACATAGGTGTTTAGTTTTCAGTGTTTTTAAAAGATCCTATTCAAATCACATGATCATAACCCTAGTGGAGAGGAATCTGAGCTTGGGAAAACTCCTAACAGTTTTGCTTGGTACTAAGCTGTGACTTTGAACTGCAGTGTGTGGTTACTCTGTTGTGTGTGGAGGTGCTAGATTGCTAGGCCTTCCTTTCTAATTCTCATATCCCATAAATAAGTAATGGGAGGGATAGTTTGGGTACATCTACATAGCACCCTTACCTTGAAATAAGCTACACAATTTGAGTAGTGCAAATTGAATAACTTATTTCGAGGTAATTTTGAAACAATTTTATTTTGAAATAAACGCTATTCTGAAATGTCCCTTAACCCTCATGCACGGAGGTCTACAGGGATGTCAGAATAGTGAGCCCATTATATTTTGATATAACAGGCTTGCTCTTAAGACGTGGAACAGCTATTTTAGGATCCCGGAGAGATTCTGAAATAGCTCCGCGGTGTAGACATAGCCTTTCTGACCTAATTGTTATTTCTTTTCAAAATTCCCCACAGTTAAAGACAGGTAGTACTATAAGATGCTCTACTGAAACTTTGGCCCATATACTCCAGTTTCCCATTGCCATCCGTCACCAGTACCAGATGTTTAATATAGGAAAAACTATAGGCAGTTTTGGGCTAACCCATTTCTCCCTACAAAGGTTTCCTCTTAATCCCTAATATTACACATTGGTGTAAACTGTGAAGAGTGCAGGTTTATATATTTTTTTAAGGTTCTTTTTTTAAAAAACATATTCACTATGATACTTCTCTGTGCTCTTGTTACCCATGGCTTTTTTCATTTAATGCTGATAAGCTTTTGGGGTCAAGAATATCTTATGATAATGGATTTTTCACATCTACTTTGTATATCATGTGACAAAAATATTTCTTCTTGTTAGCTTTGAATTTGTTACTTCTCATTGAGTGCTCGTTTGTTCTTGTGTACATGACAAATTCTCTCTCTCCCTTTGAATTATATAATTTACAAAGTTTGGTTAGGAAATCTAGTTGTCTAGCTCTACCTATATTTGTGTTATCAAGAAACTATAAATGTTCCTGAGTTTCTGGAACCTCAACAGGAGCCCGATCCAGCACCTATTGAAGTCAGTGGCAATTCTGCCACTTATTTCTATAGGACAAGAACGGTAATTGAGTAAAATACCTTTGGGGTAGGGGTGGCTAGGGCTCTTACAGTGATGTGTATGTAAAGTGACTGTATCTCTGGGTCTGTGGAACACCTTCCTTACTTGTCCTGTGCAAAACTATGGAATTAGCCCATTTTAAAGCCCCCCTTTTTTTTTTCAAGGGGGCATTTGGCAAGACATGGAGTTTATTTTATTTACAGTGACTTTAATGGTGGCTTTATTTAGTCTTGAAATCAATCCATCCTAAATTTCTTGAGTATTTTGATAGGCATTATAGAAATTAATATTTCATATTGTATACATTCCATCTTGTCTTTTGCACTTCACCAGAGAGCTCACTCTTTTGTTGGCAAGAATGGGTATTCTAGTCACTGTAGGATAAGGGGGTTTCTTTTATTTTTCACTTGTAGTTTCTTAGCAGTTATATAAATTCCTTTCCACATATGTGTTTTTCTAGTGCAGACTGCAACTTTTTAAAAATATTTAGTACAGTCCATTAAAAAGATTAAAGACCTAAAAATGACTTTGCTGAAGTGCACAAAAATTTGAAACCTCATATTATTCTCCATAGACATTCAAAATGTTTGTTCAAGTGTCCTCATAAAGCGTTTTTCTGGCTGTCATTTTTTTTATGTTTTTGGCTTAAATTGACAGACAATAGGAATTTATTTCTATCTCTTAGTGCTGTAGTGTCTGTGAACTCCAGTTTGTTGGAAGCCAGTTTTTCCCCTTGCAAACAGATCAAGAGAATATTTATCCAGCACCATTTTCCTCCCCTACTTGTGTCTTCTACACTTAGAGAGGACCTACTTAATGATATTGCTACAGAAGATGCAATATCCTTAGCATTGATCCTCGTTGCTTGTAATGGCTTTCCACATCAAACATTTCCTAAGCATTAGCTACTCATATTTTAAATTTTGTTCTCTGTTTAATGGTTGACCTGGCTGATATCCATATTTATTTAATGCATATATTTTTCTTTGCCTGACTTACCGTGGCTTATTTAAAAAAGACAGCTTTGTAAGTGGTAAGTATAAATGTCCTTGCAGAATTGTGTACAAAATGGAATTTATATAGGTAATTTTATACTCTAGTATTTGATGGTATTTAGCATCTGTCAAAGTTGATAAGTAAAGTAGGCAAGGCATACTTGGACATGTTCTGCATGGATGTTAAGTTATTGGTTAATTCAGGTAAATTAATGTAAACTCCCTAAACTTATAATACCAGGATTATGCACGGCATATGATATATAACCTTTGCTTCTGTTAATATTATATTGATTGTTACTATAAGAACATTGCAGCAGTTTTATATCCATCTTAAGTTCTTGTCTGATAGAAAATTGTGTTTGGGGTAAGAGGACAATTTGAGATATTTAAAAAGTTTCCCTTTCTCAAACTTACCAACTCTTAACATGCCCAGAGGTTTATTTTATAATACTTACATATAATGCCTTTTTTTTTGATGAGCCCAAATCACTTCATAATCATTAATTAACAAAAAGTCCTCGATAAGGTGAGTGAACATTATTATACTCTTTTTTTATAGATGAGTACACTTAGGATAGGTAGACAGTTCAGGTAAGATCAGATAGCAAGACACTGGCAGTGCTAAATTCTACACCCCTGTCTGCTATTCAACAAGAGTAAATTAACATTGCATCTTGAGGTCAATCTTACAAAAGCTACCGAGGCAATATAGAACAACAGCATTCATTGTCAGTAATACATTGCTACAAGACACATACTGCCAGTAGCCAAACTCTTGAAAGGTATTTTGTAAGATGTATGCAGTTATGCCTGTGATAACAAAGATATATCTCCCAGCAAAATATGAATAATAATAATCATATAATAATGTCCACAATGTTACAGTCAGAACTGGAACAATCAATTATTCTGACTCTATAACAGAGCTCTTCCAAATGACTTTCAATCTATTGAAATGTATTACCTATGAAAACAAGATGTCATTTTGAAAGATAACGTTCTGTCTCTCAAAATGTCCATTACAAATGCCAGGGAGAATCATGATGTTTGTGGCTTAACTTTTTAAAAAAAAATACAACTGAGGGCAATTCTGTTAGTGCAGTTACTTTCTCCATTAAACCAGAGTTTACAAAATAAGGTGGAGTTCTCATAACCACAACTGCAGCTCGTGTGTTATAATGAACTCAAGATTTCTGCTCTGTTTAACCATAAACAGAGTTCACTAAAATTGTTAGTATACTCTAAATGGGTTCCACTGTATATGATAGCATTTTTTTACCAGGACCTGCCTTTGATTTTTTTTTCAGTCAATGGAAATTATATTTTTGGGGTTAGGGATTGAAAACCATACTCGAATTGTGATTTATAAAATTTTATAAAATCAGACAGACACCCACATTGCCTACACAAAAATGCAAACTCATAAATCTGGACATGAATAAAAAGGTGGGATATTAATGCTAATATTTACCTTGTCTGCAGTAGAAAAAGTGGAGCCTTGCTGGAGTCTCTGCATATGTTGCTACTCTACAAACAAGAGGGTTAGGAGAAATTTACAGTGCAGGAAGAGTCTCTTGAGAACCTGAAATGACCTTTTAGCAATTAGACTGAAACAGTAACTTTTCCTGCTGCTCCTTAATTTTCTCTGGGTAGAGCTCTCTTGTCTGTATCGAGCTCCTCTAAATGTTGATTTTTTTTCCCCGAGTCTCAGCTGGATTGGGCTTCTCTTGCTGTCCAAGTTTTCCTAATAAAGGGGACAGATTCCCCAGTCCCTCAGTGTGTGTCATCCTCTTTTCTTCTTCCCAGTTCAACATTTTCTGCTCCCACCCATGCAGCTGGGAAGATAGAAGCCACAAGAAGCAGTTCCTTTGCACTGCTCCAGCCTGCAACTCTGCATCCTCTTTAAATTAACTACCCAGTTTAATGGTGTTCAAAACATGCTTCCAGGATCTAAATATTAAAGCATATGTTAACCACAAGTACCAGAACTATGGCCTCATTCTTCTTTGGTCTGAAGCCAATTCCACTTCTTTATAGGAATATCATTTTCAACATTTTAAAATGGCATGAAACATACGTCCTTTGTGTGTGTTTAACTGTATGGAGCAACTAAAAAGCTCCAATAATAGAATCATAGAATACTAGAAGTGGAAGTGACCTCCGGAGGTCATCAAGTCCAGTCCCCTGCCCTCACGGCAGGACCAAGCACCATCATTCTAAATCATCCCCGATAAATGTTTGTTTAACCTGCTCTTAAATATCTACAATGATGGAGAGTCCACAACTTCCCTAGGCAATTTATTCCAGTGTTTAACCACCCTGAGAGGAAGTTTTTCCTAACGTTCAAGCCTCCCTTGCTGCAATTTAAGCCCATTGCTTCTTGTCCTAATCAATCCCATAAAAGTATCAGTTGCTTCATTAGAGGTGCTAGTATCCATTTTGGATATTATTGATGTTTCCCCTGGGCAGAAAAAAAATACCATATGCCATGAAAGATGTCATTGGTTGCAAGAGTCCTCTAGACCTAGTATCTCTAGATGAAGGTGCCATACTTGCTAGCAT